AGTGTTTTTTAGTCGCTGCAGGATAATTTATTAAGGTGAATGTAGTTCACTACAGCTAGGTCTTTTTCTCTCACCATCCATATATCTTTCAGCCTTTTCAATGCATATCACAACACTTAAGCACATAATAAATCTGTTCTTGCAGAGTACCTATGTGTTATGTACTGGCCACATGGTTTACATGCAGCACAGATCTAGGATCACCATTTGATTTGAATGTCTAAGTAAACTTATTTAGTTGCATTGGCGATCATCTAGTAATGTTCGGAAATCAGATACAGATCAGATGATGTAAATGGGAAATATTAGGAAACTATGATGTATATCTTTAAGCTGAGGTAAGTATGTGTCTACTGTATTTCAAAAAGCAAATATTAATTATATTTTAGACCTGCTAGAAATTACAACCTTAAATGCTCTGAATTGATAATTATGCAGCATAGTGCTCGTCTATCTTAGTATTTTTGATCTTCAGAGAACAGAGACACGAACATGACAGCAGTTTAGTATCGGGGAATAAGCCCAACATTATCACCAGGACCATTTTCATCATACTGCACTTTAGTTGCCACTTTCAAACGATGGAAAGCTCTGGATAGGCCTCCGTTGGTGGTGGGATGAGAGTGAACCTGAGAGGAGTATAACGAAGAATTCATTGCTGGCAGTAGGGGGAGCGACATTTGCAATGTTATAGCTGCACTATTCATGGGAGAAATGATAAGTCAGGCATTGGCCTGGCCACACAACACAATACGCCTCTATAAATCCCACAGGACAGGAATGTGTGCTTTAAACCCACCTGGGTGGCTAAATGAATAGAAAATAGGTGAATATTCCAAGCAGATTTAGATGGCTGGGGAGTAAACTTGGAGGAAGGAATTTGTGGGCAAAGAGCCATGGATCCCAGCCACACGTGCTTTAGGGGAAGAATAATAAATGGAAATTACAAATGGGAAACACTTTTAATGATCGCAGGCTGCAGCCTGGATGCTGGGATGGCAGGGGCACCAGTCTGTGCTGCCGAGGTTACTTACGCAAGAGCTTTGCCCTGATTTCAATCAGCCCCAATAGGGACAAAGGCTTCTCACACATGAGAGCTTTTCAGTCGATCACCGTTAGCTCACAAGGAACAGAGATATATGAGCGCAATAATGTATTGAGGGGGGGAATGCTAATTGGAACGGTTCCAATCAAGAAGAAAACATTTTGCCAGTAACTTAGAGCAAGCCCTGTAACCCTCTTAAAAGATCAGAGTTAGAATGGTCAGGACTGTGAAATTGAACAGATGTGAGCTCAGACCACTGGCTAACTTGTTTTGCACCAGAACAAGACCTGGGGATTTACATTTAGAACATTTAGAGAGATTCCTCACAAGCCACAGATTGAAGATCAGAGGCGCTGGTCTAGAACAGGCAGCCACATTTCCGTGACCATCTGACACCTTAGATTTAGAAAAATAATACTTTGCCTACAGCATACGTTTCGTGCTTAAGCCGGTAGGTAAAAATATTCCTGGGAAATTTCCTGGCTTCAGTTGTTGACCTCCCCCTCCCCTCTCCCCTACACCCCCTCCCCCCTCCACACACACACACACACATCCATGCCGCCCCCCCCACCATCCCCACCCCCTTACACACACAAACACACACGCCATGTCATTAAATTGGTGAGTTTTGTTTAGCAAAATCAGATTGTTCCATTTGTTAGATGTATATAGACAGATAACCACCTTTTTGGGGAAGAACATAATGTTGGTCAATTACTAATCCGGACAGGCTCTTTTGTCTGTTTCACGTGGTCACGGTTCCTGAGATCCTGTAATGTTATGACATTTGCAGACCGGCTTCAGATAGTGTTTAGCAGACATCTTTTGTAGGGCTTTCTTTAACACACCACTGTGGACCTCCTGTAGGAGTCACAACCCCAGGAAGCTATTAATCCAACAATCTAGAAAAGCACATATTTTATGGGAGCAGAATAGGCTCCCATTTGACTTTGGCTCGGGATTTCCGGATCAATAAGGATCTTGCTGCATTCACCCTTTTTATCTGGGGATTTGTTGCAAAGCTGTGAATGACTTTTGTTGGTGTGGGGTAATGAATTGAATGCAAAGACGCCTCGCCACATTGATAGTGCAGAACCCACAGAGTTATGCAAATATGGATAAATTAATAAAACGTTAATTTATGCAGATAGATTGAATATTATTGAAATGCTATGGCTTTCGTATTTGCTAGTGCTGTAGCGATTTGAATGCCTTTAAAAAGTTTCTCTGATTTTCTTAAACCATCAGCATCCTATATATTTTAATCGCTTCAACAACAACAAGAAGATTCCATTTATAGAGCGCCTTTCACGTCGGGAGGATGTCCCAGGGCGCTGTACAGTTGGGTCAGGACCCGAGCAGGGGGGACATGGTCAGGGTAAGGGAAGGGAGGGAGCGAGGAGGGGGTAGAGAGTCGAAAGGGGAGCTGAAGGCACGGTCAAAGAGAGCTTCCTCAATGCTCAAGTACAAAACCTGAATGTTATGTCATAAAGTGTCATGAAGGGACAAGGATACGATACAAGAAAACAGATGACTTTGGATATGTTGGAACTGCAGAACAAGATCTTAAAAGCAGTGGATTATCACTGTGATATTTCAGTGCCCCGGGAATAACGTATTTAATCCAGCCCAGAGTACACATGGTCTCAGAGCCACATTTTGACTCTATTTAGAATCCATTAAAAATGCAATGCGGCCTACGGTACATTGAAATGAGTGTATCATTCGGATAATAACTTCTATGTTTTAATGCCGCAATAGTGTTAAGTGTGACACAATCCAGGCGAATTCATTCCAGCAATGTTGCTTCCACAATGTGTGTCATCTGATGCAATTGAAAGGAGAGAAAGTCTTAATAACAAAACGTCATTGTTACCAAGACATTAACAAGACAATCTGGTAATTTTCAACTATGGTAATATCAGCTGAATAATCATTTCTTTGTTTCAATGCATCAACAGTATTAATGGAAAAGAATCGCCTTTAATTCACACAACAGCCAGTACAGTGCTGATTAGACTATGTGTCTCATCGGATGCAACTGCAGGGGCAATAAAACGTTACGAAAGTTTGTGCCATCATCTGAAGATTGTATTGTTCATCCACCTTCATAAATCCGTGCATGTGAAAGATGAGGAGAGAGAGAGAGAAAAAAATATTTTGTGAGGACAGACTTTTTTTTTCTGTGAGAGATCCATTCACCCAGAGAGAGAAGCGTGGTCACAGAATTAGCAGTTTCAGCTCAGCAGAAGTCGCTAGGCTGTGAAGGAAAGAGAAATTGACTAATTAGCAATGCGCACTAAAACTTGACGGTTCTTTATAAAGGGGACTGCTTTTCTAAGATGTTTGACTGCGCAGTCATTTACGCACGACAATTTTACAATAGCCTTGAGCCATAATTTTAAAACTCTCTCCAGCATCCAACCCCTCCATGGTCACTCTTCACTGGCGATGCACGACCGTTTCTCTCCCCAACCGTGGATTTCCTATTACTCTTGTTACGACTCACTGCATCCCAGGCCCAAGGATAATGATGTGTTGTTTCTTGGTAGCATAATTTGTCACACGTACATTTTTTTTGCGAAAGCTGCTCTCAGACTTCTTGCTGTTGCTAATTCTGGAGACAGTATATCAAATGATGAACGACAAAAAAATCTCGCAAGCGTAACTGCTGAAGTTGCACGCGTGGAGCTTGATCGGCTACGGATTTTTCTGGGGGGGATCGAAGCAAAAAAAAGAAAGAGAGGGAGAGAAAATTATATGAAAACAAAAGTGGGGGATCTGATTTAAGTGGACTCGACTTTTGCAAGCCAGTGCATACAGGTAAGTTTGTGGCCTCGCCTGCCTGTCTGGGTTGGTGATGAGTGGGAAGGAAGCACAGGGGAGATGAGGCTGTGACAGGTAGTCTGGTGAATAAACAGCAATGTGAGAAATTATAGGCTCGGGAGCTTGATCAGACAGGAGCTGCTGCTGATGTTTAAAAGGAGAGCCGTGCATGTGTGTGCATGTGTGTGTGCATGTGTGTGTGTGTGCATGTGTGTGTGTGTGTGTGTAAGAAAAAACACTATGAAGCTCGATAACATTACTTGTAAGGCGCTGCTTCCGATTTTTTTTTCCAAGTTTAATTCTGTTACAGATTCCGATCTGACCCTTGACGCTTCTTAATAACACCCACGTTCGCTAAACAACTGTGTGGCTCTTTTATCGGACTGAGCGATCGTATTTTTTTTGGAATGGGGGGTGGGGGGGGGGGGGGGGTTGGTGTTGGTGGTGGTGGTGATGGTGATGGGAGGGGGGGGGGAGAAAATAAAATAAAACACCATTAAGCAACATGAAACTTTGGCTGTCTGATTTGCGTGGCGTTTTAGAGCGAAAAAAAAATTTGTAATGATGATCATAATAATAATAATAATAATAATAATGATAATAATAATGATAATAATGATAATAATAATAAAGAACCGAGTGCAGAGCGACGGATTTCTGTGCAGATTATTATAGGGGATAAATCTCAAGGGGTGGCTAGTGCTGGGGCTACTGGGGCCAGTGCTGGGGCTACAGTGGCGATGTGGAGATTATAGATTAACCAAATACAAGGGCTCGCCACGCAGGGAAGGTTTCGCGCACAGCGGACCATCCTTTTTGTAGCCACAATAAAACAACTAACATGGGGGGGGGGGGTTTGGGGGGGTTTAAATGGAGTGTGGATTGGAGAAATCTGGTTGTACTCACGTGAAAATATTTTGTCGTGGGAGAGAGAATGGGAAACAGAGAGAGAGAGAGAGAGGGGAGAGGGGAGAGAGGGAGAGGGAGAAGGGGGATGGGGGGGGGAGGTTGGGGATGGGATGGGGGAGAGAGAGAGAGAAAGAAGGAGAGAGAGAGAGAAAAAAAAGAGAGAGAGAAGAGAAAGGGGTGGTTGGAGGAGGAGGGTGGGGGGAGGGGGGGGGGGGTCAGGATTGACTGTGAATCTGACCGTGTGTGAAATGTGTGCCTTTTTTAGGTGGTGTGAAAAAGTTAGGTACCATGTCAAGATCTGGTGACAGGACCTCCACCTTCGACCCGACACACAGCGACAGCCTCCTCCACGGCCTGAACCTGCTGTGGAGAAAGCAGCTCTGCTGCGATGTGACTCTGACAGCCCAGGGACAGCAGTTCCACTGCCACAGGGCAGTGCTGGCTTCCTGCTCCCAGTATTTCCGCTCCATCTTCTCCAACAACCAGCGCAAGGACAGCACCCACGAGCCGGGCAGCCGGACCCCCTCCTCCCCGGCCGAGGAGCTCTCCAGGTCCATCAACAACATCGTGCTGCAGGGCTGCTCGGCCCCCGGGGTGTGCCTGGTGCTGGAGTACATCTACACGGCCAACATGACCCTCTCGCTGGACACGGTGGAGGACGTGCTGTCGGTCAGCAAGATCCTCCACATCCCCCCGGTCACCAAGCTGTGCGTCCAGTTCCTGAACGACCAGATCTCGATGCAGAACTACAAGCAGATCTGCCAGATCGCCGCCATCCACGGGCTGGACGAGACCAAGAAACTGGCCAACAAGTACTTCGTGGAGGACATCCTGCTGCTCAATTTCGAAGAGGTGTGCGCCATGATGGACTCGATGCCGCCACCTGTGGAGTCGGAGCTGGCTCTCTTCCAGATGTCCGTGCTGTGGATCGAGCACGACCGGGACCCCCGCATGCATCACGCCCCCGACCTGATGAAGCGCCTCCGCTTCGCCCTCATCCCCGCGGCCGAGCTGGTGGAGAGGGTCCAGACGGTGGACTTTATGCGGACTGACCCCGTCTGCCAGAAGCTGCTGCTGGATGCCATGAACTACCACCTGATGCCCTTCAGGCAACACTGCAGGCAAACCCTGGCCAGCAGGTGAGTGAGCAGCACCCGGGCTCTTAGTTACTGGGGGGGGGGGGGGGGGGGTGGGATAACACAGCTAAATGCTAACTGATGGGGAGGCTGTGTGTGTTGAGGAGGGGGGGGTGGGGGTGTGGGTGGGGGGGGATCGCGTCCAGTGGAATTATTTATTTTCTTTGCCCTGATTTCGGGGAATCGATCCACCCACCCAGGGGCAGGTGTCACTGACGTTTACTTTGTTGACCAAAAAAAAGTTGACGAGGAAGAAAACTTTGGACGTCGGCTTGGGGGGGTTCATATTGCCCCGAGTTCCCAAGTCACTTCCCGAAAGTTGCCCCCCTCCCAACCCCCCCCCCCCACCCCCCGGAGAGACAGTGAACTCGTTTTTTTTTGTAGGGGTTAAAAAAAAAAGCAGGACCACTTGCAAGTAAGCTTTGGGATGAAGGTAAGGTCAGGGACCTGACATCAAAACAGAGACCGTTTCAAAAATATATGTTGGTCATGTTGGTCAGTCACACTGCAAAAAGAGCTCTGAGCTCGTTGTCCTACCTGTCCTGGGGTCCCAGGGTGTATTGCTTACCTGCTGCTCTGTAAAAGGGCCTCTCTCAATAACTTTCAGTCATTGCCCGTTTCCAGTCATCAACTTTTTATATGCATTCAGATCAGCTCCAAGTACTGCGGTTCCAAGATCCGATGACATTCACTGGAACCTTTTTTTTTCCATGGTTTAATGTAAATGAGCCGTACAAAAAGAATAGGCAGTACTGAGCGACACAGAGGAACGTAGGACATGCTGGACAGAAAGAAACAAGGTCCATCCAGTTCGCCTTCCACCATCCTGGCAGTCCCATGCAAGTGTCCTGTCCTAAGCTCCTCATACACTGTTTGTTCTGTAAGTCTATGCTCCATATAGGGCAAAACCAAGTGGTGAACTTGATCCAAATACTAAACTTCAGTTACATGCATAAACTAGAGTTCATCTTTAGCATTAGATTATAGCAGTGTTTTGGGTTTGCCTACTATCTGTTATTTCCTGAGGCTCTTGCAGCTTCACAGTAGAACAACGACAAAAGTCCTGGGCTTGATCAAAATCTTTGTACAATGCCTGATATATTTTATGGTATTACACTTTGAGACAAACCTACACATTGGGACTTGAGTCCACAGTGCAGGCTGACATTACAGCGAATTATTGGAACAGTCTTTTAGATGAAACGTTCAATTGAGTTCCCGTCTGCCTGTTCAGGTGGACTTTAAAGATCCCTTGACATTATTCCAAAAGAGAGGGGATTTCTCCTGCGCAACAGTCCTCCAAGATAAATGCATTCATCGCAAGGCTGTTCGTAGGACCTTGGTAGTGCAAATGTTTGCTACATTTGCTTACAAAATCAATTAGTACACTGGGCAGCTATTACATGTGTAGTACTTTGAGACAGTTTGACATGTCTATAAAAATATAACTTTCTTTCATTGTTCGATTCCTGGTCTGGGCAAAATCTTAGGCAAGTTTTCTTACTCCACACAACTGTTTACCTAGCAGTAAGTGGGAACCAAGTTGTTAGTTGATTGGTGGATCGCTTTCCGGGGACAATACTCCCTCTAAAAAAAATGTGGCCACTCAATCCACGACCGTTTGTGTGCATAATTGGCTGCCACATTTCACCCACAATATACACAGTCAATCTACTTTACAATATATTCTGTGAAGAGCTTTGATGCGTTTCAATGACGTGATAAGGCGCTATATCAAATGCAAGGATTATTATTGCTAATAGAACAACATGGGAGCTGAAGGCAGATTGTGCCACGTGACCTTTGTAACTCTGACTTGCAGTGTAGTGCTTGTACTGCAGAGTGCACCCAGCAGAATAAGTTAAAGATCATTTGAAAAATATTGGAAATAAATCATACTGCATGAAGTGAAGAGTAACAAGTGTCGGACAGAGAGATAGATGCTCAATTTTTTTTCTCCGTTTTTTCTGATGTTCATAAATGTTTTGAGCTTTGATCTCAAGTATACATATACACTTATTTCATAGAATATACTGTATGTATATATTAAAAAGGTATGCTAAAAATCTGATATATTGGGTATATATATATGAGACCAGTGGAAATATTTGACTGTGAACCTCGGGCATTTCTTTTACCCAGTATTTATCTACTCATACACATATCAGAAAACTGCGGCAATGAGAATCGCCAGGATATCAATAATTAAAGGATTGTGCGGGTGCTGGGGACTAAAAAGAGTATGTCTACAAGTGGATTTACCCAATAACTCAAGAGTGACATAGTGTTGGCTTGAAAGTAACCTTCATATTTCACACAGACATACACGCCCGCACATCGTATTCTATTCACTGACATTCTTTATGTTTGAAAATGATCGTGCCTGGCACTGTGAAAATAGAAAAAATATTTTAAGTTTGACAGTAATTACTAGGTCACAGTGAAATCAAAGCCACTGGGGCGATTGGCTAACACAATGTTGGTAACAGTGCACAACTGGGAACCCCAGAAACAAAACCTTTCATTCTCCATCACAATAGCCTGCTTCTGCAGTGACAAACCTTCACCCCAGTAAGTATCAGTAAATCAGGTTGATGTTTACATGTTTTAAAATCGTTAAATGGGATGTAATGGAAATAATAATTCTGAAAGCACTGTATATCCAATACTGCATATTGGTTTTACCATTCGAGTGGCTAGATTTTACATTGTTTCGACAGAAATTGCAGTGTGGAAATATAGTGTATTGGAGCACAAAAATGCTGTGTCATGGGGTGTTGCTGTGTAAGTTTGAAACTCGGACCCTGCACATGCTGTGTCACTGCTGGTTTCCCAGAGGGAAAAGTCACCCAAGCCATTCCCTGGCAACCTCCAGTGGCTAGTTTCAGAATTGCAGTGACATATAACCGGGAGCAGGTTGCCCTTGTATTGTTAATCAAGGATAGGTGCACAGATAGAGAGGCCTGGATGATTGACACATAGTCTAATGATGAATGATGATGTATAATCTTAGACTTAATGAAAAAGAGGTCTATTAGCGAAAATCATTGCAGTCACTGAGGCCCTCTACCACATAAACTTACATCTTCTCATTCATCGGAATTGCGAGATTTAGTGTGCATTGTTAGTTGTGGTCATGTACAGTAAGCACTCATGATTCAATTCAAACCATCTTTTTAATTGGAATCAACTTTTTTAAAGCAAAATTGAACTGAGTTCTTCCATTTGAATATAAAAGTTACAACATCTGCTAGCATCTGAATACCTAGAAAAATGTGTGGGATATTCCATTGACCTTTACACGGTAATATTCTGTTTTAGTGGACATAGTTCTTTCAACCACTTAACAGTTTTAATCTTTAGCATGAGAACAGAAAAGTTACCTATGTTCTTTGTTCATTCCAACTGGAAAGGTGTGTCCTCAGTCATTCAGAGGCCACAGGTCTGGCCATATTCTCACAGTTCTTGGTCAGTAACCACAAGAATAATCAACTTTCTTTCTTCCTACCTTAAGGCCGTGCAGTCATGGTATGTTGATCAAAAATGAAAATGTCTAGTTGTGCAGTGAACAGAGAACGAGCACATTCTGTTTATGAACTGACCACTGTTGATATTGTTGCTTCACTCACAAAACACACCGTCACATCACTTCACAGTATAGCATGTGAAGCACTTTGGGATACCTCAGCGATGTAATAAGTCGCTCTATCGAATGCAAGGATTTTTATTATTATTAATTCTTACTTATCAATCTGTCGTAGCTGAAAGGAACTTTGTTTCGATGGCCATTTGCTATTTATGTTGGTCAAAGATGAATCACAAATTCGATCGACTTCAAGATTTTCCCACCGTCTCTAAATTCCCTCATACCCCATCGCCTTCCTACCTCTCCGGCCTGCTTACTCCCCACTCCACTACATGCTGATTCCACTCAGCTGGCTCTGGCCTTCTGCTTGTCTCTCATGCCCTCCATTCCACCATAGGCGGCCGTGTTTCCAGCCACAACACACCGAAACTTTAGAACTCTCTCCCTCTCGCCCCCGCCCCCCCCCACCCTTCCCCATTTCATTGCCTGAAGACCTTCCTCTTCGACCATTCCTACAGTCATCTCCCCCTGGCTCGGCATTAGGCTCTGCCGCTGTTAAGCGCTCGGAGACGCTGCCCCGAATGAAGTGCATATATAAGTGCAAGTTGTTGTTATGTATCTCAGATTCTAGGAACAGGATGAGATTGTATAGCGTTTGAACAGAAAGGATTTAATGGATCTTAAAATGCTCTGGGAACATACTGCAGTTGTTTGGGAAATACAGCCCAACATTCAGAGACTGACTGCTCTAAGACTTGCTCCTTTCTTTAAAAAAAAGGAACATTTGACTTAAACATGTGAGTTGAAATGGGTGCTGCTTCAAATTGTTCCAGCAATTTGAATACTCTTAAGCATGGCGATGTGTTAGAGACTCGGCTGACCAAAAAAAGGGTTGATCCTGCAACATTATTAAGTTTATTTACACCTTATTATTGTGCAGCAATTACCTAAGGTAATAGATACGGGACTAATATCTTGGTAGTGTAAGTTCCAACTCCTGCAGGTCTAGAAAAGCCCAGAGGAGCTAGCGGGTCTTATAACCAGCAGCGCTGATTTAACCGGCTGTGAAAAAAAAATCTAACTTGATCCAACATTGGTTCATACCCAAAAACAGATTAAAGCTCTGTAAAAACATATTGCAATTACTATTTGCTAATGTTTTCCAAACTCTGACTTGGGAGTAGTCCATGTTGTCGTGGCTTATTTAGGTGTCAGCCTGCCTCATTTGGAAGCACTTTCACCTCTGAATCTGAAAGTTATGGGTTCAAGCCCCTTGGAACTCATAAAGTCTATGCTGACACTCCAATGCAGTGCTGGGGGTGGGGTAGGGGTGGGGGGTGTTGCATTGTTGGAGGTGTGTGCTTCAGATGAAACGTTAAACTGAGGTCCCGTCTGCCTGTTTTGGTGGACGTTAAAGATCCCATGCCTCTATTCCAAAAGAAAAGCGAGTTTCCCAGTGTCCTATGCATCAATCTCCCAAAGTAAATTAGACACTCATTGCATAGCTGTTTTGGGGACATTGCTTTGTGCAAATTGGCTGCTGCATTCACCCACAAAATATACGGTCACATCACTTTACAGTATGTCCCATGCGTTTTTAGTTGTTTTGATGACATGATAAGGTTCTATACCAAATGCAAGGATTATTATTATTGTAGCTGGTTACAGTCTCTATTAACTACATCTCAGATAAGCAGTGTTAAAGAGAAGCAGTTCATGATTTGCTGATTAAGACAAGAAATCTCTAGACCACTAAGTTCTTTGTGAGAGTCACTTGAAGCCGTATCTTGATTGAGGGCCACTCTCAAGAAAATATTTCTCATATATTATCGCATAGCAATGGGACACAGGTCTGTATCTCCAATTCCCAAAACAATTGGGTGAGTCATAGGTTCAGTGTATTTCAGGCTTCTCTCTCATACATCATTTCAAGGTTATTTCCAGTCTCTAGCAATGGTCCTAGCTTTCAGATAGTTCGGAAGGATTTTGAGAAGGCATTCCTGTTGATTCTTCCCTCCATGGGGGTGTTCGAGAAGGTGGAAGTTACTGGTTTGCTTCGGTTCAGCATCTCCTCTGATGCACAATTAGAAATATAAGGTTTCCATGTGGTCAATACAGTATAATGCAATTTACATTTATACGTTGTCTTTTATGTGGGGTGAATATCTCAAAGTGCTTGACAATACTGGTTGGGCATCTGAAATCCTGCCATTCCCGGGTGATAGCACCTGAGCTTACCTCCATTGCTCTACTCTCCTGAGGCTGAGTTTTGCCTCAAGAGCCCAAAGAACGATTTGCAATATTTAAAAAAAATTTTTTTAAACAAGGCAGTTCCCCTACACTATTCGGTTTATGGAGCATAAAGTTATTAATAGCAGAATAATGGCAGAACAATGCCATGTTGGGGAGGGGCAAAGTGTTGAAGCTCCAATGGGTTGTATCTGTTGCAGATACAAGCCTGCATCTCTGTGCTCCAAGCTATCAAGTTGCAACTCGTGTCCATGTAGAGAGCATTATTAGGGGGAAGACAGCTTCTATCCTCTCTTTCCTTCTCCCCTCCAACCATTTCTGTTTTTCTATATCATCATTACTATTTTACTCATTGGTTCTCTGAACTTTAATCTCTTGTTCCACCCAAGCTCTGTACAAAATTTATCACAATTTCTCCTTCTCACTCTTTCTCAGGACCTCAAAACGGTGGAACATCTTACATGCCTCAGTCTTTCCTATGATAGAAAATTGAAACATTATTTTCCCAATGTTCATCCATCGTAAAAACAACAGTGCTTTGATGAGCTGTTGTGCTTTCCACTGATTACACAAGAGGGTTGGACAAGGAGTAAAATGTGTTTAGGAATATTGCAATTCTGAACCTCATTTGTAAAAATAAAAAGAACTTGCTGCTTTATCGTCGCAAAGTGATAAGAAAATCAATGCCAACATTGCCTGCACTGACCCACTGACATTGTTGGTGATAAACCTGCCATCAAAATGCCAAAAGGGACAACATGCCTCTTTCAGTTCATCCACTGTGAAGCAGAGCTCCTTAACACTGAGTTGGCAGAATTCTCTGGGGAATTCATCTTCATGTAAGCTGATAAAACTGTTTGTCTGAACAAAACTATCAGTGTTGAGTAAATGTTGCTAAGCATGTCAGATTGGCAGCATGTAATGTACACCATCTCAGGGATGTTGGAGGAAATAAATGGCAATACCAAAACATCGCAAAAAAAAGTTATAGATGAAATACTCCCAAAACCCTTGGTAAACAAGCTACTCGATTGAAGAGTGACATTTAATGTGTCTCCGGGGTCAGGACTTAATTCTATAGGCTCCTTGCTAGTACAAAACTCAAACCCATTGCATAAAGGTGAGGGGAAAAGGAGTCGTGGGGGGCTTGTGTGGAGCATAAATACTAGCATAGACTAGTTGGGCTGTCCTACTTTATGTAACTCTAAGGTGTGCTAGATGGCAAGCAGTATGGTGATTTATGTCTCTGGTCATTCCATTGCCAATCAGTATGAGGTATGTTAGCCAAGCTGTACTATAATAGTAATAATCCTTGCACTTGATACAGTAACTTCATGTCTGGAGGATGTCTCAAAGCACTTCACAGGCTATACTTTAATGTGGAGTGACTGTATATTTTGTTGGCGAAAGTGGCAGTCAATTTGCATAAAGCAACATCCCACAAAGAGCTATGAAGTGAGGGACCAATTTACTCCACACAATGTCCCCAAGATTGCACAAATCCTGCTTATTCTGAACAGTAAAATATTGTCATTTTCTTTCCATTTCTAGTATTCGCTCCACTAAGAGAGTCTTGTTGCTGGTCGGTGGGTTACCTCCGGGTCCGGATCGACTTCCGAGCAACTTAGTTCAATATTACGACGAGGAAAAGAAGACATGGAAAATCCTTACACGTAGGTGTGATTCATTGAACACCTCCATTTGTATTTGTGTGCTTCTCTGGGGTCTATTATTTCAAGTTATGTAAACCATGTGTTGATGCATGTGTTCAGAGGGAATAATGTGATTAACAACCAAGAAAACAAGTACAAAATCTGTACTGCTTTTCAATGAATGTTAGTGAAATAATCAAGGCAAGCTGTAATTCCTTATGTGCACATGGTTTACACAATTCGCGTAATAGTCCGTGTTGTCAGACAGAAGGGAAGGATTGTGGGGAGCTGATAAAAGAACTTGCTTTGTCATCCAATCAGAGTGAGTAACCATTGTAAATGGGTTTGCTGTGATTGGTAACCTACACCATTGATCCCATTTTAAGAGAAACTGGACTGTTTCAACCAAAACACAAACTTGCCTGGGAACCATTTGCTCTTTGCTCCGACTTGTGCTTTTTCTGTGTGGCGATTGTTACTCGTGATTGATTGACCTGGACTGAAAATAACGCAGCAGGAGTTCTTAAAGGAGCAAAAAGAAAAGATGGTTTATAACTCCAGTGGCTTTCTCAATGGGAGAGCAAGTGCTGCTGTCGAGATTTTTGAACAATGTGCTGCTGTGCCGGAGAAATGCATGAACACTGCGTAACACTGCGTCTCTCCTTCTCTCGCCTGTGTGCCCTTAGTAAAGATTCACTGATTTTCTGAGGTTTGCCAGTTTACTACACAATCTGCTGCCAAAATTTTGGGTCGACCAGAAAATGCATAACATATTCACTACAAAGGAAAAAAACAAGCACAATAGACGTGTATTCACAATTTTCAGCAAACTTGCAAATTCTCAGCGAACATTTACCTTGCCATGAATAAAACTTATTTCTCTCTCCCTCCGCCCCTTCCCCACCCCACCCATCTCTCTCTCTGCCTTGGAATCTTTAAATCCTCTAGTTTCTCTGGCTTTGCCCTCTCTTATTTTCCTGACTTTTCTCTTACAGTCTGACTAAATGTTGAAAAATAGTTTAAAATGTTATCTTAAAATGAGAAATATTTGGCAACAAAGTACTTTTTCAATACCTTCCACTTGGGACCCTTTTATTGGTTCATATTTTAAAGCATTGGAGGAAAAAGCTTCTTTGCAACATTAATCAGTTGATTATAAAGAAGATAAGAGAATCGGAGGAAAGTATTGTACCAGATAATCTGGAATTGAACTAAAGGAGAGCAAATTTGACTAGAGTTTCTAGTTTTTTTCATATGAAAAATTAAAGCTACTAATTTTGAATGCAAACTGCACACAATTATACATTTCCTTCTAACTGTAACAGTACCTTTATATGAAGTACCATTGAGGAGAAACAGCAAGAAGGAAAAGCATGCAGAGTGCTGTTGGGAGGAAAGTTCGGAGAGCAATAATGATCATATTGAAAAAACAAAGAAAGCTAACTGAGCTTTGATGTTTTACTGATTTTATTTTTAACAAGTTTCTTTTTATCTTCAGCTTTGTGCATTTTTTCTGTTTGCATAAAATTTTTTCCCCTGCGTGATTTTTTAAAAACAATTTGTTACATGAGGAAGAGCTGGTTGGTGAGGCAAAGTTGGTGTGTGGCGAATGAACTTCAATAATAATAATAATTTTCGCATTTGATATAGCACCTCATCACATTGTCGCATTTACAGGCATTTTACTGTAAAGTGGATTGACTGTGTATTTGTAGACAAATGAGGCAGCCAATTTGCACACCGCAATGTCTCAAAACAGCTTTGAAGTGAGTGACCAATTTTATTTGGGGAATTGTTGGATTGTTGGCCGGGACAGAGAGAGAGAGAGAAACTCTCTTCTCTTAACAACCACAGGGTCCAAAAACGTTAACAACAAACCATGCAAGAAATGACATCACCCACACCTTTGACCTCTTGTTTCCACGGTGATGATTTTTGCTTCAGGCAGATGGATGCCAGCAAAGAGCCAATTCATGCGAAACTTGGCACAGTGTGGCAAACTGTTCGGAATAATCGGCCTGGTTTTTTTTTAAATTTGCAACAAAGAAAAGTTTGGTAGATCACAGATGATTGAAGCGTCGTATTAGGCGATAAGATATACCACTGAAAAACTACTTTCTTCTGCTCTTTCACTGAAATGGTTTTTGAACATTCCTGAGGTTTCTCTTATGTGGTGGGTTATTGTATTACTGACTGTAGGACAGAAGGCTACGAGGTCAACCTAAATTCCTGAGATGCATTGTAGCAGAAATGTGGCGAGAGAAACAGCTGGCTCTTAACTGGAATTTACTACCCGATTTTAGCAAAAGAATGGGAGAAAAATACATAAATAGGAACAATCATATTCTTGAAGGGAGCAGATGCCTTGGTGTAAAAAATGGACTGTGCCCAGTTTGACTCTTAAGAGTTATTCTTATCAAAAAATTGATGCACTATGTTTTGAAAGGAATCTTTTGCCTTAATTAAAATTAAATAATGCTTGTATTTGGTATAGCGCTACTCATGTCTGGAAGACATCCCAAAGCACTTCACAGGATTTACTGTATTTGAGGCGAATGTGGCAGCCTAATTGCACAAACCAATGTCCCACAAATAGTCATGAAATTAAATGAATGGCCATGTAGGAGAAGCCCCGTATTTCAGGTCACCACCAATACTGCAGAGAGTAGAGAGCGCGAGAGCCTGAGAAATCGCTGAATGATCTGTATTCTTGCTGTTGGATTTCAATTGAAAACTTTTCTCACATGTGTTAATGATAATGAGCAGTACGACAGGTGCCAGCCTGGATCAGTTGGGAGCACCAGAGCCTGTAAATCAAGAGGCTATGTGTTCAAGTCGCATTTCAGGACTTTAAACTTAATAATAATAATAAAAATAATAATTGCATTTGGTGAAGCATTCTTTCAGGTTGGGAGGACATACCTGAGCAGGATTTACTGCGCAGTGGAGTAAATCCTATGTATTTGTAGGTGAACAGACCAGCCCAATTGCACACAGCAGTGCCCCACAAACAGTCTTAGTGTGAGTGACCAGTTTTATTTGGGGGGATTGGTGGCCAGGACACCAGGAGAAACTCCCTCTCTTTTTGAATTGTGCCACAGGTTCTTTAACGTCTACCCGAACAGGCAGACAGGCTCTCAGTTTAACATCTCATCCGAAGGATGCATCTCCAACAACCCACAACCTTCTGACTCAGAAGTGAGAGTACCAAAGAGCCAGGATGACACGTAAGCCAGGCTGAGCTTATCATCTTGGCTGGGAATTGAAATCTTGGGGGAACCAGGCTTCAGATGAGACGTTAAACTGAGGTCACATCCACCTGTTTACCAAATCCTAAAAATCCCACAGCACTATTTCAAAAGAGAAGACAATTGTGACCTAATGATCTGGAGCCTCAACCATTTTAGCTTCCACTCTNAAAAAAGGCCAATTTCTGGGTGATTCAGTTACCAACAACGTCGCGTCCTGCTTTGCACATGAGCAAAATACAGGAAGTGACATTGGCATTTCAGAACATATTTTAATATTGTTCCTTAAATAAAGAATGGAATATGTGTAGAAAATCAACAATTTGGATTCTGCTCATAAATAATAATAATCCTTGCATTTGATATAGCGCTTTTCATGTCGGGAGGACGTCCCAAAGCGCTTCACAGAACACACTGTAAAGTGAATTGACTGTATATTTGTGGGCGAACGCGGCAGCCAGTTGTGCACAGCAATGTCCCACAAACAGTCATAGATTGAAAATGACCAATTTATTATTGTTTGGGGTTTTTGGAGGGATTATTATTAGGCGTGTGGAGTAAGGAAACTTGCCCAAGGTTTCGCCCTGCCTGGAATTGAACTCAGGTCTCTCGCTTAGTACAATACTGCACATAGTTTACAATTTATGTGGAAATGTGCTCAATAGTCGAGAGGATCCTATGATTATTTCGCTAACAGTGCTGCTGGAAATAATTCAGAAAAGTTGTTGCAGAAATGCAATACAGGCTCCAGCTCTAAAGGTCATGCCATCAACAATAACAACAGTAAAATTACATTTGTAAAGCGCCTTTCACATTGGGAGGACGTTCCAAGATGCTGAACAGTCAGGGATCAGGACCTGAGCGTGGGGGGCAGAGTTGGGATGAGGGAGGCCAGAGGGGCTTAGGAGGGTGGCTGAAGGCAAGGTCAAAGAAGAGGGTCTTGAGTCGTGCCTTGAAGGAGGCAAGAGAAAAAGCAAGGTGAAGGGATTGTGGGATGGAGTTCCAAACAGTGTGGTCAGGGAGGCTGAAAGCCTGGCCTCCAATGGTAGGGCAGTTTGGGTAGGAGACCTGGAGCAGGCCAGAGCCTGCTGAGCAGAGGGAGCGGACAGGCTGATCACAACTGAGCCACCGCTCTCACTTGTATCTAAGTAGCATTTTATTAATAATATTAATAATAAAATAATAACAATCCTTGCATTTGATATAATGCCTTTCCCATAGACGGAGGGGGGATGGAGGAATGAACACCTTCACAGGATTCACTGTAAAGTATAGTGACCATGCATATGTTTGTAAGTAAACAAAATCTGCAGTTTTTTTTAAAAAAACAAAGGGCACGATATGGGATATATCAGGGTTTAACTGGGAGGAGAGGAAATAAACAGTTAAAAAAGAGGAAAAGGACTCAGTCATCCATCACAGTAGCATGATAGCTGAAGTAGGGATCTTTGTGCTGTGTAGCTTGGTCTGAACCCCTCTGTGAGGTGTGGTTCGTGGCAAAGGGGATCCAGTTTGCCTGACAATTTGGGAGATGTGGTGGAACTGTACATATAACCTCTTCTAACAAAGCAGAACTCACAAGAATTGTGCCCATACATTCTTGCTGGATTTTATTTTTGTGCCTCTCTTTTGATAGCTGACAATATGATGCTACGCTGCACATAGCCTAGATTTTAAATATTTGGGTCAAATAGGTGCCTCTGCCATGCAGCCAGCAACATCCCATCTAGTGATCAGGGATTTAAATGTGCCATTGATTCCTTTTCCCCATTG